TAAACAACTTTTTGGGCCTCAAGTCAGCCCCCATCACTTCCAGAATGCTCCTCTCGAAAACCCTAGCATCCCTTTTGGCATTTTGAGTGTATTTTGTGATTCTTTGAAGATTTGGAGAGAAGAAGGAGGGTAGATCCAAAGAAGGAGAAGAAGATCCAAGATCTTGAGTCCATTTCAGAGCTTTGTGAGGTACAACTCGAACATTTACTGTTTCCATGTTTGAATCTCCATTAAAACCCCAATAAAGTCATTTTTGGGACACTCCTTGGCTTGTTAGTGAATAGAGAGCTTATAGGAGCGAAAGGACATCAGATCTAGTCATGATCGAGCTCTAGAAGCTCAGATACATTGCCTTTATTGAGTCAAATTCATATGCAAGCCTTGATCTACGCTTTTAGTCCATTTAGAGCCCTTTAAACTCTTGGATATGCATGCATGCACGTAAAGTTGGAAAGTTTACGTGTAAAAACCACCCTAGGAACCCAGATCTATGAGTTGTATGCTCTGGAATCGATCAAAATCGTATGTATGGTGTTTGCATGCAAGTGACTCGACGAGTTGTTCATCTGACTCGGCGAGTCACAGTCTGGACGTGTTTACATGTTGAACGAGAAATCGACGAGATGTTCATACAACTCGGCGATTCGGATGAAGTTAGACTTGATGTTAGCATCGAAGAAGAAATCGTCGAGTCTTTACCAAACTCGACGAGTGGAAGCGGGTAGAGGACTAGATTGGATGCTAGGGACTCGACAAGTTGACGGCCCAACTCGGCGAGTCCGGTCAACTGAAAATTGACTTTGACCAGGAAGTTGACTTTGACCAGGGAGTTGACTTTGACCAGGGGTAAATAGCAATGTTTTAAAACCTGGGTCGACCCGGCCGGTTAAACCGGTTGGACCGTGACCCGATGTAAAAGGCGGGTCAATTGAGACCGGTTTTTTGTAAAAATACGAACCGGATCGAACCGGCCGGGTTTCCCCTAAACCGCGGTTCGACCGCTTATGTCGAACCGGTTAAAACCGGATTGACCCGTTTTAATAGGGTTCAGATAGTTTGATACAAGTATCGAACGTCAAAACAACGGGCCGTTTGCGGTTTCTTTAATGTTTTTCAATGTTTAAACTTTGTGGATATCAAATTATTGATTTTATATGTTTATGGATTATGCATGCAAATAAAAATATATAAAAATAGAAAAAGATCATAAACCGGGTTGACCCGGCGGTTCAATCGGTTGAACCGGTTGACCCGTGAACCGGTCATCACACCGGGTCAACTAAAAACCCGGGTTTTAAAACATTGGTAAATAGTCATTTTACCCTGAGGGCGTTTATTAGTACATGACCTAGTGTTTGTGGGATTTGTAGCCGGATAGTTCCGGAGCAGCAGCCAGCCAGCGTTAGAGTTAGAATCTCAGCAGCCAACGTTACGAGGTCAGGTACTTGATGTCTTTGTGATTCAAGACTTTGGTACTAATAAACGCCCTCAGGGTAAAATGACTATTAAACTGTCCGGCTACAAATCCACAATGCCGACCCATTTAGTTAGCAGCCAGCGTTAGAGTTAGAATCTCAATACGTGACCTCGTAACGCTGGCTGTACAGCCACAATGCCGACCCATTTAGTTAGCAGTAGTTCCAGAATTTGGTCCGATGCAGTAGTTTAGGGTGCTTGATGTCTTTGTGATTCAAGCATGTCTTTGTGTTATGTGTTCCGGACTTCGGTCCGATGCAGTATGCAGTATATGTGCTTATGCTAGTTGATATATCTATGCTATGCTATGTTATGCTCAGTTAGTTTCGAACTTCGATCCGATGCAGTGGACAAGGTCTCAGTTAGTTTCGGACTTCGGTCTGATGCAAAGGGCAAGGCCCTGGTTAGTTCTGGACCTCGGTCCGATGCAGTTTCCGGACTTCGGTCCGATGTAGTTTCCGTACTCCGGTCCGATGCAGTGGGCTAGGCCTAATAGTTGTTTATCTGTTATTGTATGATATGTGGTAGTTTGGGGGAGCTTACTAAGCTTCGTGCTTACAGTTTTAGTTTTGGTTTTAGGTACTTCCGCAAGCAAAGGGAAGAGCTCGGGTTCATGGCATCGCACACACCACAACTTCAGTTTACCTGGGAGTTTATTTTGGATGTTACTATGATTAATATAGATTTGTTTGACACAGTACTATGACATTTGAGTTGTTTATTCCGTGGTTTTATTATATGTGATGTGATTTTTAGTAATATTAAAACAAAATTTTTTAGGTCGTATTTTGGGTCGTTTCAAGTAACCATGTTTATGTTAACCTTAACTCGAACGGATTCAACCAGACCAAACAACTTTAATATATTATGATAAATGGAGTGATGATGTTTTTGCATACAAAAATTTGGTGCTACATATTCGCCGCATAAACTTTTATAATTCTTACAATTTTTTTTTGTCTAGGAGTAGGTTGTGGTGTAATCATTACCTACCAAATTTTTTTAATTAAAAAATATAATGCCGGTTAATCTCATACAATGTATTTATGTGATGTTAATCACATGGCCGACTTTACATTATGAAAAACTAAGCAAATGCTTAGGACCCCCATTTCTAAAGGGCTTCAAATTTCAAAGTTTATTATGTTGTATATATGTATATATACATATTTTTGGGGATATCAAGACAAGTTGAAACTTGGCTTGGTGGTAAAAACACTGGTTTATAAAACTAAAGGTCTCAAGTTCAAAACTGTTTGTTTACTTGAAAGGGCCCCAATTTTTTTGTTTGCTTAGAGTCTCTAAATTAATTGAGCTGCCCCTGGTTAATCATACAAGCCTTTCAATACACATCACTCTTCAATAATTAATCTCATACAATGCCATTTAATCTCATAGTACACATCACTCTTCAGTAATTTAATGCCATTTAATCTCATATTACACATCACTCTTCAGTTTTTTATTTAATCTCATAGTACACATCACTCTTCAGTAATTTAATTCTGGTTAATCATACAAGCCTTTCAATACACATCACTCTTCAATAATTAATCTCATACAATGCCATTTAATCTCATAGTACACATCACTCTTCAATTTTATCTCATAAAAGCCTTTCAATACACATCACTCTTCAATAATTAATCTCATATAATGCCATTTAATCTCATAGTACACATCACTCTTCAGTAATTTAATTACTGAATGACAATAATATGCCCCAGTAATTTAATTCTGGTTAATCATACAAGCCTTTCAATACACATCACTCTTCAATAATTAATCTCATACAATGCCCTTTAATCTCATAGTACACATCACTCTTCAATTTTATCTCATAAAAGCCTTTCAATACACATCACTCTTCAATAATTAATCTCATATAATGCCATTTAATCTCATAGTACACATCACTCTTCAGTAATTTAATTACTGAATGACAATAATATGCCCCTGATTAATCATACAAGCCTTTCAATACACATCACTGTTCAATAATTAATCTCATACAATGCCATTTAATCTCATAGTACACATCAATTTAATTACTCATACAATGCCATTTAATCTCATAGTACACATCACTCTTCAATTTTATCTCATAAAAGCCTTTCAATACACATCACTCTTCAATAATTAATCTCATATAATGCCATTTAATCTCATAATACACATCACTCTTCAGTAACTTAATTACTGAATGACAATAATATGCCCCAGTAATTTAATTTTGGTTAATCATACAAGCCTTTCAATACACATCACTCTTCAATAATTAATCTCATACAATGCCATTTAATCTCATAGTACACATCACTCTTCAATTTTATCTCATAAAAGCCTTTCAATACACATCACTCTTCAATAATTAATCTCATATAATGCCATTTAATCTCATAGTACACATCACTCTTCAGTAATTTAATTACTGAATGACAGTAATATGCCCCTGATTAATCATACAAGCCTTTCAATACACATCACTGTTCAATAATTAATCTCATACAATGCCATTTAATCTCATAGTACACATCAATTTAATTACTGAACGACAATAATATATTAGCCTTTCAATACACATCACTGTTCAATAATTAATCTCATACAATGTCATTTAATCTCATAGTACACATCAATTTAATTACTGAACGACAATAATATATTAGCCTTTCAATACACATCACTGTTCAATAATTAATCTCATACAATGTCATTTAATCTCATAGTACACATCAATTTAATTACTGAATGACAATAATATGTTGATGAAGATACAAATCACTCTTCAATAATTAATCTCATACAATGCCATTTAATCTCATATAAGCCTTTCAATACACATCACTCTTCAGTAATTAATCTCATACAATGCCAAACCTTTCAATACACATCACTCTTCAGTAATTAATCTCATACAATGCCATTTAATCTCATAATACACATCACTCTTCAGTAATTTAATTACTGAATGACAATAATATGTTGATGAAGATTTCCGTCAACAAAATAACTAGTGAAGGGGTGGTGTTTGGCACTTAATATATAAGCCTTTCAATACACAATACTCTTCATTAATTAATTTTATACAATGCCATTTAATTTCATAGTACACATCACTCTTCAATAATTAATCTCATACAATGCCATTTAATCTCGTCACTCTTCAGTAATTTAATTACTGAATGACAATAATATGTTGATGAAGATTACCGTCAACAAAATAACCAGCGAAGGCACGGTGTTTGACGGTGACAAACTTTGCCATATAGAAATACCGATGATATTTTACCTTCTACACCGTATGGTCTTATAGCTATTAAAATATATAAATGACTATGAATAAATGTATATTTTTAGGTATGTCTAATTTTCGAAAAGTATGACAAAATACATTCTTTAAAGTGACAAATAAATAAATGGTGGAGATGCAATGAATGAAGTAATAGAAGACAAAAGAAAGAAGACTTAGGTGGAGTTGTTATAATTACCCTTGTTTTTATTAAAGCAAATGTCAAAAAAGGCAATTAAGACCAAAGTTCAAGCAGAATGGCTAAAACTTAAATATAGTAATGAAAAATACCATCACATTATAAATTAAAATAACAATACTCTTTACGGGTCCCATGTTAAAAAGTTTATTTCGGCCGCCTGCTTTGTCGTCTCTCTCGCCTCCGTCCACCACCGTCGTTCTTTTCTGTTCGACTCCCACCCCCCTTAAATTCTCTCTCTCTTTAACTCTCACATTCTTTACTTCCCTCTTTTTTTATATCATTTGAGCGCTGAAAAACCTCTGAAATACCGAGGAATTTACTGGGTTTTTTTGGGATCGGTATGTTCGGTCAAAAGGCCGATCCATCTGAAGAACACTTGCAGGTTTTAGGGTTCTAAACTGTTCGTCTGAATTTCCAGAAGAAAGTTAAGGAAAACAGCGAAGGAGATTCAAACAAGTTTTGTGTTCTTCATGGCTGGTAGTAACGAAATCAACGCAAATGAAGCCAAGGTATTTTTATTTTCTGATCTGTTTTCTCTGCCCCTCTTTCTTTTCTTTGTCATGTTCCTCCCAAAATAGTTAAATTTTTTTGTTGATTGTTTATGTTTTCTGGTGGACGTATTGGGTAATTTTATTTGATTTTTGGTGGGTTTTTTTTGTTGACTGATTTGGGGCTAAAAATTGAGTCTTTTCTTTTGTAACTCATGATTTCAAAGGTTCTTTTGATCTTACTTTTTTGCATTTATTCATTAAAATTTCCCCATTTATTTTTGATCATCCACCCATTTAACTGTATTTTGATTTGATCAATCTTGTTAATCGTATGGAATTTATTTCTAATCTTCTGCCAAAAAATCATGTCTTTTTGTGTAGAAAGTTGTACCACTTCACACATGGATTTTAATCTCCAACTTTAAGCTAGCTTACAACATGCTCCGGCGACCGGACGGGACATTCAACCGGGAGCTCGCCGAGTTTCTTGACCGGAAAGTGCTTGCGAATACGGTTCCAGTGGATGGTGTTTACTCTTTTGATGTGATTGACCGTACCACTGGTCTCTTCAACCGGATTTACAGATGCGCTCCACCGGAAAATGAGTCTAGTCGGCATCCCGGTGCCGGAATGATAGAGCTGGAGAAACCGCTTAGTACTACTGAAATCGTGCCGGTTATAATATTCTTTCATGGTGGAAGCTTCACTCATTCGTCTGCTAACAGTGCTATATATGATACATTTTGCCGGCGACTCACCGGGCTTATTCAAGGTGTTGTCGTTTCTGTAAACTACCGGCGGTCACCGGAGCATCGGTATCCTTGTGCTTACGAAGATGGGTGGGAAGCTCTTAAATGGGTCCATTCAAGATCATGGCTTTTGAGTGGTAAAGACTCTAAAGTCCATGTTTATTTAGCCGGTGACAGCTCCGGCGGGAATATAGCTCATCATGTGGCTCACCGGGCGGCGGTTTCCGGCGTGGAGGTTCTCGGAAACATACTCTTACACCCGTTGTTTGGCGGCGAAGAAAGGACGGAGTCGGAGAAGAAATTAGACGGAAAATATTTCGTCAAGTTACTCGACAGAGACTGGTATTGGAGAGCATTTTTGCCCGAAGGTGAAGACAGAGATCATCCTGCTTGTAATATTTTTGGTCCTCGTGGCTCTAATCTCGCCGGCGTTAACTTCCCAAAAAGTCTGGTCGTCGTCGCCGGACTGGATCTTGTTCAAGACTGGCAATTGGCGTACGTTGAAGGGCTGCAGAAAGCAGGGCAAGACGTGAAGCTCTTGTTCTTGGAAAAAGCCACAATCGGATTCTACTTCTTGCCAAACAACGAGCATTTTTACACATTAATGGAAGAAATGAAGAACTTCGTGAGTCCTTCTCCGGTTTGTTCGTTGGAGAAAACCCAGAAAGATTAAAACTTCCGGCGAAGGAAGAAGGCATATATAACACGATCTTTTGAAATTTTTACTAATAGTACTAGTACCACTATTCTCTAATTTCCAGTGAAATCATGAGAGAGGACACATGTGTAAATCGGTTATTGGTTCCTGTTCTTGTTCTTGTTTCTGTTGTTGGTTTCAAATTGGGATTTCATGGTAAGAAATCCGTTGCAAAATTAGAGGCCTTACTGCGAACTACCCCGATAGGGTTTTTGATGATTGTTAATGGAAGCTAACTTTGAACTTTGAAGAACTACGATGTAGGCATCCAATCCATGGCTGCTGTGCTTGCCGTTTGTAATATTATGACTAAAGCGTTATCTACTTTTAATGATCTATTACAAGTACATATACGTTCGTTCTTTAATCTTGTATCGTTGCTTGAAACGGGTCGATTTCTGAGGGATATTTATGGTGTTTGTCTGTTGTGAAAGGATGGTTGTTTGTGGGTGCTATGGCGGGGTTGGTGGAGCATGGCGAATCAAGAAGAAAAGAGGTGAAATGATTGGGGAAATGGGGACAAGTTTGAGGTTGGAAATCTCTCCCTCTCTATCATGTAGTATTGTCTTTTTCTTCAAGGGCTATAATTGGTAATATTGCAAACGTTCAGGGGGTATGGTAAACATCCCCTTTTACAAATCTATATTCCCCTCTCTCTCTCTCTCATGTAGTTTTGTCTTTTTCTTCCAAGGATTATAGTTGGTAATATTGTAAACGTTAAGGGGGATGATCTGACCATTTTACAAATCCATTATTCGTCTTTCTAGTTTCCTGACTGGTTGGACACTATCTAACTTCTCATTCAATTATAATAGACTTTTTATTTTATTTTTTTATTATTATTATTATTATTATTATTATTATTATTATTATTATTATTATTATTTTGCAATTGAGTTACAATGACAGTGAAGTTTTATTTGATAGTTGAAAACTGATACAAAGTTTTAAAATATTATTTTAATCAACAAATAAAGTGGCAGCTTTCTTATGACCGTCGCCGATGGATGAACGAATAGACTTATCTTGAAACAGGGTTTGGATCCTCTAGGGATCTAAAAAATTAGAGTAACCGCCATGAAGACAATTCTTCCATTAGACCACACGATAGGGCAGGTTTGGAAACAAATTCTAAAATCTGATCCAAACCAGTTCCGTAACCCGCAAAGTTTTGAATGGTCAAACCCATTCTTTTATCTACCGAATCAGCAGATATCCAAATCCGTCCCGTAACCTGTAGGCTTTTTGAATAATCAAACAAATTTTACTTAAATCATAAAATCATATTATTAAATAAAATAAATGTTTATTTAGAAAACACATTATGTACTCGAAGACTTTCGATTGGAATTAAAATCATTATCGTAGTTATTTCTGATTGGTTTTTGACCGTCGCCTGCATTGATAGAAAATAACAATTACAAACTTTCTTCCGATTGATAAATGAATTTATTGATTTTTAAATGAAATTGGTTATTACGTGATGAAATATAAATGAAATGACATCATTATTCATGGAAGAAGACTGAAAATCTAGAAGTTGAATCCTCGAGCCTATGTAAAAACTATTTAGTTTTTAGCCTTTTCTCTTTGGACTTTCGATTGAAATTTAAATTAAACTTTATGCAGTATAAAATATAAATGTATAATTCTAAAATTTATATGGGGCATGTTATAAATGGAGCCGATACCCGACCCTTTTAATAAAAGGGTTAACGGGTATGGGTCATCAACGGGTAAACAGATCAAAAACTATGCTCTAAACCCGTATAATTGTTAAGGGTTTGGATCGGATCAGGGTCAAAACCCGCTCCATTGCTAGGCCTATTCATCACCTATTTTGTCAAAAGCACAAATATCATACTCAATATTTGGATGTTACACGTTCGCATGTTACACACCTCCGTAAAACGTAATATACAAACTCAAGGTTATAATCACGTGTAATAAACGTTCATGAAACATTATTTAAGTGGGGTTTCACTTTATTTTATTATTATTATTATTATTATTATTATTATTATTGCATTTTTAATGTTTTTAGTACATCTTTGAAGTTTTTTTTTTATTTTCTTGAACTAAATACTAGTTTAAGTTTTTGATTATTAATAATAGGGTGTTGAGTGAACATCACGCTGATGGGTTTCTTGCAATGCTTACAGTGGATTTCTCGAATCCCTTTAACCTGGTAGATAGATCAGCCTTGCTCCACGAGGTTAAAAGGATGTGTCATTCTATTTCTTTGTGGGTGAATTTCTTGTGCGGGCAAGCAGAAAGACTTTATATCGGAGACCAACATATATGGTCTGCCACTGGGGTGCAGTAAGGCGACCCCTTGGGCCCTCTTCTTTTTGCCCTCGTTTTGCACCCGCTTGTTTACAAAATCAGAGACAATTGTAAGCTCCTCCTCCATGCTTGGTATCTAGATGATGGGACTGTCATTGAGGATTTAGAGGAGGTGGTTAGAGTGTTGAAAATTATTCGGGTGAATGGTCCAGGCTTGGGTCTTGAGTTGAACATCAAGAAAACGGAGATTTTTTGGCCCTCCTATGATGGTACGAAGTTTCGTGCTGATATATTCCCAACGGTATAAAGATACCTTCTTTTGGGGTGAAGCTCCCCCGGGGGGGGGGGGGGGTTGTCAGCAAAGACGTAGGGTTTATTAGCGAGCTAGCCATGAAGAGAGCGGTCAATGCTGTTGATTTGATGGGTCTTCTTCCACAACTATGTGACTTACAGAGTGAGCTCCTTTTGCTTTGATCATGTATGGGCACTGCAAAGCTTTTCTTTGGTTTAAGGACATGCCAACCTATGCATATGGAAAAGATAACTTTGTTTTTTGACAAAGGATTATGCAGGTCTATCGAGGATATGGTGGTATGTGGAGACCCCTTCTTTGGAGGCATCCAGTGGCGTCTGGCTTCCTTACCTATTCGTTTCAGTGGTTTGAGTTTGTACTCAACATATAGGGTTTCCTCTTACGCATTTGTACCCTCGAGGGTCCAATCTTGGGCATTACAAGACCACATCTTACGTGACAATGACATATGTGGTACGGACTTTGATTACCTATGTGCTTTGACTCGTCTTTACGGTACGATTCTGGGATTCAACTGTAGCAGTTTCACTAATAAAGACACACCGCCCCTTAAATCCCAAAAAGAATTGGCGTGTGCACTTTTAACAAAATCGTCAAAGATATGGAAGTCAACTTTGACATGAGTGTTAGACAACAATCAATTTTTGAGTGTCTTCGAGCACCTATGTCTCCTGTGGAGTAACGAACTATCCTTCATTATGCCTCATGGTTACTATATTCCCAATTAACGAGATATGCCTAGTTTACTGCAAGGCATGCTTGGACACTTTTGGGGAACATATGTTTCATTGTAGAGAGCTCCCTGGTTTCAAGTACCTACATGATGTGGTTAAGGATGTTCTGTCTGATGCTTATCGGCGTACTGGTAATTCTGTGAAGAAAGAAGCGCCTTCGACCCATTCCTATTGGAGGAAAACTCACCTCACACTGTTTAAGTCTTGTTGATAAAACCCTAGCTACTGGATGACAGATTCCCGAATCTGTCAACATCAAAATAACACCCTATAAATAATTGGGTTCCATCACATACCCATAAGTCCATGCTTGGGGTAAGAGACTGCTTTACCCCTATCTTAGCTTTATTCAAGCCGAAGGCCCAAAAGTCAACTATGAGTCAAAGCCTAACATATAGCCCAATTTTCTAGATTGGGCCCAAACTTCTACATGGTCTTACCCTGAGGCCCAACCATTTAGTCCAGTCCAAACATTTGGCATTTCTAATAGCCTAATATCTCATAATCATAATGGTCCAACTATGGTCTATCTATGACCCAATTTTCCAAATTAGGCCCAAACCCTCATATGAGCCTTAACCTAAAGCCCATTTAAATATTATAGTCCATATTATCATTCTTCGGTGGCCTGTTATTGGCCCAATTACTAAAACCCAATAGAAAGGCCCAACTCAAGGCCCACGTGAAATTAGGGTTTCACATAAAATGATAATTAGGGTTAAGTGTTTCTCACTTAACCTATTAAGGACTTAATCCATTAAGTCCATCACTCTACTAGATAAATCATATGGTGTGATTGGGTGTAATTCACAATTCCATTCCAATGGCCCAAATGTGGGTCCCAATAAGTCCAAGGCCTATATTTCCAAAATTAGGGTTTTCTAAGCCCTAATTAGAGCTTCCCACCCAATCATAGCCCAATAGGCCCAAAACTAAATCTTTAAGCCCATTAGTGTTTCATTAGGTTAATTAGGGTTTTGCTAATCGGGCACCACCCACTACCACCTCGGGTAGTGGTGGTCAACGACGGCTCACGGTGGTGGTTAGGGTTCTAGTTTGATTAAGTCCAAGCATCACAAAAGCAAAACTAATCACAAGCTAAAGCATATCGCCACCCAACATGACGGCTGGTGGCGGTAGGAGGTGGAAGCCACTACCCTACGGTGGGGGTTTTTGAGTTTTCTTTCCATTAGTCCATTACTGAGTACATCATCCAATGCAACATCTCAAATAACACACACACACACTAAGCTAAGCTAAGCTAAACACACACACACACACAACTACTTTGTGGTGGCCGGTGGTGGCACATGGTGGCAGCCACCACTTCACAGTGGTGGTGGTGGTTTTCTTAAAAACAAATCCGACTAAGAAATACCCAAAAACACCACTTCAATATAATAGACACACCCGCGCACCCTTGCTCGGAAATATGGAGGCAACCACTTTCCTGGTGGTGCGTGGTGACGGTAGCAGCAGCCCTAATGGCGACAACGGTGGATAAAGACGGTGTTGCAACGACGAAATAGATGGGGAAAAGGTTTTGCAACGACAACAACGACGCTCCAACTCTTTAGGCTTCTCCAAACAGCCTCAACACCCATTCCGTCGGTCCTCGCTCTTCGCCGACAGGGATGCGACAGCGGAACAAGGTGGCCGTCTTCAACTAATGGTGGTGGCTAGGATTTGGTAGCATCTCCTTGATCTTGGTGGTTCCTCCCGACAGCCACTACGTCGTCCACGTCTTCATTGACTACGGAGACACCGGTAGGTCGAGCACAACAGGGAAATGGCGGCCGGAGGTTGAAGATGGAGAGGGTGGCGGCTCAACGATGAAACTTAGGGTTAGGGTAACGGAGGAGTCGACGAGTTATATACCCAGTTCCTACAACTTCAGCCCATAATGACGCAAATGGCCCATCCTTCTCCATTTTCTTACAAATTTAATCCAAATGTTACCAAACGACCATTTCCTATACAAAAGCCTTTTCAAGTCAGGTCTGTAATTTACTATTTAGTCCCTGCCCCTAAGAATCTATTCAATGTAAGTCCAAATAATACCATACACCCCCTTTCTATTGAAAATCTTTAGAAAATAAGTCCTGAAACTACACTATTAACCCTCAACTTCTAAAATTGTAACAATTAACCCTCGAGATCAACACTTTGCTATATTATTGATTTTGGACTACTATTATTCATGAATTTGTCTGTTTATTTATTTAATAAACGGAGTGTTATAATACCCATATGACACATATACATATAAAAACATGTGGTTGTGTTAGACTGTCAGGTCTGTATCAACCCCATGTGACAACGTGTAGCTGTGTCGAGTCCGTATCAACCACTGGGTCCGTATCAACCCATATGACAACAAGTAGTTGTATCGGATCGTTATCAACCCCATATGACATCATGTAGTTGTGTCGGGTTCGTATCAACCCCCGAGTCCATAATGACTCTATATAACAACATGTAGCTGTGTCGGGTCC